CTTGTTGAGGCCTGCAGTTTTTATCAGAAAAAAAATACTTCGTGAACAAAATAATTTCATTCTTTGAATTCAGCCTTTCTTTTGCGGTTTTAAATCGAAAAGCTTTCAAAGTCTTTTATTTTACAYACGCATCGTGTTATTGAGATTTTTAAAATTATATTATTTATATAATTATAATTAAAAGTATAGTGATTGGGCTCCCTGTGGTTTTGGAGTTCGTGGAAATGACTTGTTTACTGATTCTTTCCCCGCTTTAGTTCCTGGAACTGAGTAACAAAGACATTTCGCAATTATTTTTCGGAGGGGAATATTTTATCATTCTTAAATGAAATACAGTGTTGGCAATGCGATAAGGAGCGGAAAAAATCCGAACGACTGGTCTAAGCATTCCTGTATACAGCATGAGCTAGTGTCGGACAGTGTTTCAGATTTTTTTTATAAATCGATGTATCTGAGTATGGCAACGGTATATAGTTTTACATTCTTCATGTAAACTATAAATATTCGGTTAGCAGCGGAAGAAGCCAAACTATTCCGCATAATGACGCATAATGAGTACTAAGAGCCCAACGCTTGACCTAGCAAAAATTCTTATCGGCGAACTTATACAAGAAATCATCGGAGATTCGCCTTATGACCTGAAGATAGGAAAAGTCGAGACAACATTGAGCGAAAAGATTGGAGCAGAACGACTGGGAAGTTTTAAAAGGTCTTTAGCTGTAGCGAGTAGAAAAGGAAGCGATGCAACCGGCGCGTGGAAAACTTTTGTGAAGTCTCTAGAATGTGTGAACTGTGAACGAACAGGGTCACAGCGTTATTTGAAGTTAAAACTCAAATCCGAAGATCGAAGACGAGAAATTCAAAGTTCGCTGAAGACGAATATTTTGGATGATCTATCGATTTACGAGTACAAAATGGCGATCCTTTGTGAAGCACTGAAGACAGCACTGGACGGCAGCGATAGCGGGAACGTCGATCACCAAGGTTCAGGAGGTAACACAGTTCTTCATTTTTTGTCCGCATTACCAATCGATACGAAGGAAAGACAAAAATTTAGTGTAAACATAATTGAGTTCCTGGTTGAAAATAACATTGACTGTTCGATAAAAAATGACAAGGATTTGACTGCCCTGCATATATTAACCGGCAATTACGTTCTCGATMCAAGAATASACTTTGAACCTTCCGCCATTGGACGTGGTCTTGACTGTAAAACTAGTACTATCGGAAGATACAAMGTATTGTGCTGTTTCAACATGGCTATGCCGTTCGACGTCCGAGGTCCTCACGGAAATTCTATTCTACACGAGTGGGTTATCCAAAGAGCTATTTGTGGACATGAGAAAAATGAGAAAAATGAGCGAAATAAGGACGAAGAACTCATTGGAACGTGGATAATAAACACTGCCAGTGTTTCCCCCAATAAGACAAACGACTATGGCTGCACGTCGCTTCACTACGCATTTAGAATCCATCTTATTGATTTTTTGTGTCAACAAGGCGCTGAAAAAGATCGCTTAAGCGATTCTGGTGAAACTACATTTATGTACATCCTAAAACATTGCTTTTTACGTGGGATTGTTGATAAATTTTTACCGCCAGAAAGTGATCTCGAGACCATACTCTCAAGCTGCTTAGGTATCAGAATAAACAACAAGGACATGAACTTACAAAAGATAGTAGCATTTCATACAATGACCTTGAAGACTCTAGAGAAATTCTTGAAAAGTTTAGCAAACGCTGGATTTGACTTAAATGAAAAAGATGCACTGAATGAAAATAGAGATTGCCTTGATTATTTGCTGTGCATCTTGAGAGAATGCGTTTGTGAGGGCTGCAAGGAAGAGAACGGACAACAGTTCAAGACCTTCAAATGTCTCTTAAAATGTGTTAAAATGCTTATAGAAAAGGGTGCAATCCTCACTGGAGAAAAAGCCGGCARGAAATCTCCTCTTTATCAAATACTTCTTCTCTATTTTAATTCCTTTAAGATGCTACATGAGGAGATTAAAAATCAAATCGTAGAATGTGTGGAMAAGATGCTGGAAGCTGGTGCAGATCCAAATACTTCGGATAKTAATGGCAATACTGTCCTTCATTTTTGTTGCCAGRCTGYRGATCCKAGGRTCAAGCAGCARAAAAAACTAGTCAAACTCTTGTGTGAGTATGGTGCAAGTCCAAYGACTRAMAATAAWGAWGGARATACCCCAACCAAGATACTARAAAATCGTAATRATCMACAATGTACGAAACTGGCCAMATCCATCGCAACACTGAAGCYAAGACTATGKGTAAAAKTTGATTATMAATCAGARCGATATAAGGATGGTTTAGACAATTTGTGCCGGAAAAAATGCCCAGATAAAGAAGGGTCGWTTCGGTAYGATYTAGATCACATAGGAAGAGGAGCCATGAGCTTTATTTTTCTTGCCGTCGACGAAAAAAGCAAGAGAGAAGTTGCGCTGAAACGTATTCTGAAAGCCTCCTTCGAGAAAGAACTCCAGAACGAGATCAAATCACTTGTCAAACTTGAACAAAACTCTAATGTGGTTGAATACTACTGTTTAGTAGAAAATCATATTTTTTACTTCTTAGCCCTAGAGTTAATGGAAGGGGATTTGAGTTATCTCGTGAGAGAATACAAATCCCTGAAAATAAGCCTGGATGATGAAGAGGTGACAAAGCTTTCAACTGATGTAGTTAAAGGTTTATCCTTTCTTCACCATCTACAAATCCTTCACCGAGATCTTAAACCCGGAAACATTCTCTTTCGTCTCRATYMCGAGCGCAAACYGTGSCTCAAACTTGCAGATTTTGGTCTTGCWAAACACTTAACGCCAAGTGTAAATCAGAGCACCGTGTTKGGCGGGAGCACATCGARTTCCCTAACAGGAACTCGTGGTTGGATGGCACCAGAACTGGTAGAAAGAAAAGTCCAAGCTCATTCTAAGAGTACTGACATGTTCGCTTTAGGTTTGGTACTCCACTTTTTGATATCGAAAGGTTTTCACCCGTTTGATCAAAGCAGAACCCCTCTTTTTGATGCTGTCAACTCGGGAACTCTAAAGCCCCATGAACTTGAGGCTTGCATCTGTAAAGGAAAACCGGAGYACTTGTGGAAARATTTGACTCCTGAAGCTCGACACTTAATGGAGTTGCTTCTTAGCGACGATCGTTCACGGCGACCTTCAGCAGGGGATTTGCTCAAGCAGAACTGTTATTTCTGGAGCAAACTAAAAAAGATCGA